GCTACCTAGCAGAGATGGGTTCATGACTCACCAAAGCTCCACTAGGTACAGAGTGCGTAACGTCCAGTGTTTCTGACGTCCAGTCGATCCATGGCTCATGGCGCTCCGGCCTTGCCATGCCAAGAATGAGGTTATACCTCAAATCCAGGTCTAAGCCCAAACAGCGCTCCACGCCGTCCAAGTCCGCAAAATTCACACCGAGACCAACGGAGACCTTCGCCACCGTCACAAGTGTCCCCGTCATGAGACGGACAGAGATGGTATCTCCTGGTTACATATTCAGTGCCTCAGCATACCGCGTCGTCCCTTCCCTGGTGGAGCGACGGGCGCGGTGTGCTCAAGGCTCTCGAGTCAATTTAATCTCTCCACGACCTCGCGAAGCACTTCCCGTCCGCTTAGACGACCAGCCAGCCTGACTTGCACACACTCTTTTTGTAAGAGAGCCCGGATCTCTTCGGGGCTGAGCCCCGTTGCCCTCTACCTCCTCGAGGGAGAACTCAGTTCTTCCCCAGTAGGCTGCCCCGCGCCTACTGGGAGTTGCCGTATCCCGGCGATGACCCGGAAGGTTGGCTCGCCGGATACTCTCGCTTATTGCGCAATGGACAATAGACGAGCATATGCTTGATGCTTCTGCGCACGAAGCATCGTCGGATCCCTGCGCGCTGCTCCGCTGCAAGAAGTCCCGCTTCTTCCTCTTCAGCATAGCTGAGATCCATCGGCTCTGGGCCGCTCGAAGGTCCCACATTACCAGTGTACCAGCCCGGTCTGGCCGACTTAAAGTTGGGTTCGACATTCAATGCCACGTCCACCGCCTCTTCAAAAGAGGTAGTGTGTACACGGAACAGGGTCCGCGAGACATAGTCCAGCAGCTCCTACTTATCCTGTCGGGTGGCAAGGAACTACGACCGAACACAGTATGTCTGGTTAGGCGGCGCAAACACGCGCGACAACTGTTGTTCTCACAGCGCCCAAGTGGGGCACAGCGTACACAGACGTACCGCATGTTAGTGCCCACTCGCGATCGCGACGTCCAAGTTTAAAACCAGAAAATGCAACGCATTGACTGCTCAGACTGGAGAGAAGCCGATCCCATGGTCATCTCGATCTCACGGGTCCAGAGACGGATACTCGCTTCATCCTTCTCTTCGAAGCTCTTCACGCTCAGTAGGATCGGCTTTGGTCTCGCCGAATCATTACTCGTGGCCGATGTTCCCACGGTTGCGGGGCTCATCTTCTCTTAAACATGCTCAAGAGCGCGTTCTCATATCGGGAGAACGACTCCAGCGGGGTGGTCACCGCTTCCGGACCTTTCGATGCAAGGTGAGCCACACCCTCCGGGCCAAGCAAGGGCATAGGCTTGTTAAGCTTTTTAAGCGCGCCCTACTGCGCCAGAGGCAAATTTGTGAGCACCGGGTGCTCTATCTCGCAGAGGATACATTCAACCGACTCAGGAGCGGGATTTACTACAAGTACTACCAACTGTAGCGAGGCTGCGGTAGCTTTAACGTCAGAGGAAGACGTTCAACTCAAAGAGTCCGTAATTCAAAGCTTCTTATCCCGAGGAACTTCAGCACACCCCTAAAACCAGGGCTCAAGAGTTACTCGAAATAATTCTTTTGTTTCAAAATCCGATGTGTTTTATTTACGTTTATTGTGGCCAAGACGCCTAAGGGGTGATGTATAGTTGTCTGGTCCGACAAAGAATTAACAGTTCTTTAAATCGACGATAACTTCGGTGGTACAGTTTTAACGGAAGCGTGGTTGAGCTAGTTTGAAAGCTCTACTTACGTACCGTCAGCACAAATTTTTATGAACAATTTCCCACCAATTTTGCCAATATCTGACCATTTGAACGATCACATTATGGAGGGGTCGAGTTTATTTTCACTTTGACGTCAAAAATAATCAGAATTAAACATTAAAATATACTGGAAATAGAGCTTGTTCTATTGGTATATCACTAAAAGCAATTGAATCCATTTTCGTGCCAATTACTTTCAATCCGTGTGCCTACAAATCCTCCTATAAACTCATTTTAACCAATCGTACCCATCTCAGAATGGATATTGACCAATCACACATGCGAGGTTTTTTAAAGAGAAACCTAGCTGTTAATTCTTTTCCGGACCGCAGAAGTCTGTTTTACTATCACGCATCGCTAAACCTAACCAAAATGCATATTGCTTGGCTTTCAGCCCACGTACTGAAAGTCTTTAATAATTTCCAACTTATGTACTGATAGTTTGTTAACTCCCCGTGTACTCCGTACCCTGTGTGTGTCCCACACCGTGTAACCCTGTTACATACACGTTTCGTGAACCTGATTGGGCAGTAAAACCTGCAATTTGCCAATCTGCCAACCGTGATAACCACTAATACATTTCTGGAACTCTGGAAAATCGCTTACGTATGCGCTGGCTACATTTGGAAATTTATATCTGATGCCTTCCCAGCGCTCAAAAATCTCTTCTAAGCAGGTCACCACTGCCTTCTTTTTCAACTTGAATTTTTTTAAGCGATTCCAAGAACAAAGTGAGATCATGTTACTGAGCCATAACATATGTCCATCCGGACAGTTCATATTTATCCCAGACAATTTTCTAAGCAATTAACAATCAGAGTACCGTATTCCTTACGTGATTGGCGACAGTCATATTCGGGAAAAACTAACGAGGGCCCTCCTAGAGAGGGCCCTCACACAAAACGGGCAGAGGTATTACCGGTACTGTTATCGGTACAGCGTTACCGTACTGTAACCGGTACAGCGTTGCCAACCAGACGAAAGGTTGTTAACATATTGAAAGGTTGTAAGAGTACCATTACTGTGGATGGGGTTGCCGTACGCGAATGGCTGGCGTGTACAGGAGCTCAGTAGCGAGTACCACAAACCAAGTTACCGTACAATGGAGAAGGAGAAACCCCCGCTCTTTTTAATTCCACCTCCACCTGAAGCCAACTACTCGTCTCATGACGAAGCAGAAGCCGCAGTACATGCATGGACCTTAAGCCACGGCTTTAATGTATCTCGACGCCGTGTACGCTACAACATCAAACAAGTTGAAGTGTTCAAAACACTTCAACAAAGTCTATAGAAAATTGAATAAAAAATATTATAAAAATCACAAAATAAATTGAATTGAGCTATTGGGTTAAGAGTGTTTGCGGCTAATGTGACTCCTCAAACTACTTTTCACTGCAAACGATTTTTGGCACAGATCACACGAGTAGGTTCCCTTTGCGTTCTGTAGTTGCTGCCGAATCACCCGGTGTTGTTGTCCGACTGGGTTAGATAAGCAAAAGTAGCGATGGTTACGCATTCGATTGGAAGATGCATCAGCGTAACCAGTATTGACAGTTAAAACTTGAGGTTAAAGCAGACATGACAATATCAGGTACCCACGAAACACCTTCAAATTGCAAGTAGCAGTGGACTCTGTAGTTGTGCTGTGAATAGCTTACTCCAGCGTGAAGAAGATCGCCCCGAAAAACAATGCAGTAACCAATAGGGATATCCACCAACCGGGATCGCTCCTCGCGTGCCACAGTGTAACATCCGGCGTAAACTCTTAATTGTGTACCACTTTCGAGCGCGACGACGACACTAGCTGGAATGCTGCGGGGAAAACGCATCTTGACAGCTTCCACGTCGCTACTTGTGAAGTCTGCATGCGGTCCTTGCTCAGGCCCACCAGGGCGCGAGTACAAAAATGAATAAACTTGTGCTCGAAAGTTTGCATCAACTAGTGTAACCACCTCCTCAATTTTCCTGTGGAGCTTTTTCATCTGTGGCGAAAGACAATTTTGACGTGATTGGCTTCGGAATGTGTCGTCTTCTTCGCCACCCACCTCACGGAAAACACTAATATATACAGATCGTCTTGCTTGTCGAAGCACACATGAAATAGTTGCTTGCGTGAGATTGAGGGGCAGCACTAGATAGCCGTCGGGCGGAAACTCAAGTCTTGGGTTGGAAGCCATTTGAAGACTGAAGCTGTTTTCGTTCAGATAGCACTTTGGAAGATCTATTTACGTCACAAGCTGTGAATTGCATCACTAACGATTTTTTTGCATCACTAACGGTCTTTTTGCATCACTAACGGCTGCGTCACTAACGGTCTATTTGCAGCACTAACGGTAATACCTCTGCCCGTTTTGTGTGAGGGCCCTCTCTAGGAGGGCCCTCGTTAGTTTTTCCCGTCATATTCTTGAGTGTGGTCCAGCCTATCCGCCACCATAAAAGATACCTGCACAGTAAAAATCGTCTAACGTGTGGTAAAATGTATTTGTCGCTAAGGCTCGGTCTTATATCTGCCCACAATAGCGAGATGAGATGCCTGCAATTTCGAGAATCCGCAGGACTTCCAACCCGGTGTTATAGACAGGTGGCTCGTGTCAGCGCTGTGGAATGGACTTGAGATGAGCGGGATTTGTGTATCCCAAGACCGTGCCACACAACGACGAGAAGGGGTGTCAGCCTTACAGGTCATCCCAATATCCCGCAAACTAGATCGCTGATTGGTCCATCCCTCTTTTGGGACGATATAAGACTGAGCCTAAGCACATAAAGCTTGAACATATATTTTACAGGTAACTTTATTATAGTTATTATACTTTACGGAACCGTGGCAAGTTGCCACATGGTACTTCTGGTCAGCGCGCAACTATCCGTTCACCACCTTGTGTCAGCTGTGCACCTTGCTGCATAAGAATCTGGACAGTGCAATGTTCTCCGCAACTATTAATAACTCCATCAAGGCTGCCCTCCCACCGATTTACCTCGTTCGCAGCACATGTTTAATAAAAAAACGATATGCGCTGCGCTGAATTAGTGCACAGCTTCAAATTATCACTGGCAAATGAGAGATTGTCGCATTGCAAAGTGACGGGGCAGGCGCTGGAAATAGCTGTAATGGAGAAGAAAGCTTGCAGTACGCTGATCTAGTGGCTTGTCGGGGTGAGATCGAGGGGCAAGGGTTGTCAAGGCGGTGACTAGGCGGGCGATGGAGCTGCCAAAGGACACGGTGACCACCTCGACGGACGCAATGCTGCCGGTCTACGAGCGACGTACGGGGCGCATCGGCAGTCTGCATGAATTTCAGCAGCGCGTCGCTCGGTACAGTCTCCAACCCACCAACGGCCACGACAACTTCGCCGCCTTGCTGAGGGACGAGATCAATACCTACATTGACGTCGTCACTCCCGATCGCCGTGAGAGTGACGGATCCGACTTCGTGGAGGCCTTCAGAAAATATGGCGGCAGGAAATCCGTCTCAGGTGTATCACTCTTTGGGGGTGAGAGAAGTCGAGCTCTTGATAAGCTCAGATACTACCGTCGCCAACTCAAAGCGGTGAGCTTCTTGATCCTCCTGGGTGTTATCGGAGGGCCCTTGAACTACGGCATTCGAGTGTTGTTCAATTACCTCACGGAATTGCGAGAATATCTCGTGAATCAGTCTCCGACCTACGCGTCAAAACTCACAGTGTGGACAGTTCACACTGTCGTCTTCTCCGGTCTGGGAATATTCTTTACTCAACTCGCCCCCGTTGCTGCAGGCTCCGGTGTCTCACAAATGAAATCGATTCTAACGGGCATCGACCCACAGATGTATCTACCTGGATATTTCGACTCCTCGACGTTTCTCGCTAAAGTTGCTGGTTTGGTCTGCTCTGTTGGTGGAGGACTAATTGTAGGCACGGAAGGCGCCTACGTCCACGTCATGTCCATCGTCACGCACCATTTGCTCAAGACGCCTATGTTTAAGGGGTTTTGTCTGCACCTTAACGGGAGACTTCAGTTACTGGCTGCGGCTTGTGCTGTGGGCGTGTCGTCGCTGTTTTCGTCACCAATCGGTGGCGTTCTATTCAGCATGGAGGTCACATCCACGTACTACCTCATGTCCAACTACATTAAAGCCTTCATTAGCGCAGTGTCAGGAGCAGTCATGTTACGGCTAACGCTGGTACTGGCAAAGAGTGAATCCAACCTCGCAACGCAGGCGGTCTTGAAGACGCAGTTTCCCACTAGCCCGTTCACGATCTGGGAAATCCCCTTGTATATTTTGCTGGGCGCTGTACTGGGTCTGTTTTGCACTGCAATGATGTGGTTCTTGCGCAAAATTGCTGAACGTAGGAGCGCATTTCGACAATCCTCCCAAAAGTGGATGACAGTGCTCGTCACTTGGATTGATCCGCTGGCTGTGTCGATATTAACCGCAGTATTAACCTTTGTACCTGGTGAGTACGCCCGGCACAACTCGATGGACGACCTTGCGATTTTGTTTACCGAAGGAGAACTCCCGTCGTCTTGGCACGTGATATCCAAGTACTACGCCCTCTCGATCCTGTCCGCTGTCTTCATGTTCCTGCTGCCATTATGCATCACACTGAAGATTCCTACTGGAATTTGGGTGCCAACGTTCATCGCAGGTGCTGCATTCGGCCGCATGTTTGGCGAGGTCGCCGCTACAGCGTTTCCTAGTCTGAACGTGATTCCTGGTACGTACGCATTGGCTGGTGCTGCAGCGTTTGGTACTGCAGCCACTCGAGCAGTCTCCGTGGCGGTCATTACGCTCGAAATCACAGCAGCGATGTCCATGATCCTTCCGTTATTTTGCGCATCACTCGCGTCGATGGCAGTCTCCAACCTCTTTAAAGAGAAATCCGTCTACGACACGCTACTGATCGTGAGTGGGATGCCATTCCTGCCTCTTGTGGACTTTGAACCAACTGGAACAGCAGGTGACGTCGTGGAGCCATGCCTAGTGTACATCACAAAGCGAACGTCGATCGCTCGTATCCTGCTCGCACTCCAACGACTGCCACACCACGAAATCCCTGTGGTTGATGATGAAGTGTCGATGATCTTACTAGGAGTGGTAAGTGGCTCCCAGTTGCGAAGGTTTGTGCGGAAATACTACGAGTTGAACGGCATCAATGAGGTTGACGTGGATCTTGGCGAAAAGCCCCAGAGCGATAAGCCTTTGCTATCTTGGGCCACGCTAAAGGACAAACTGACGAGCACTCGAACCGACAACACTGGAGGCTTTAACGGCATGGGCTCTATAGATATCACATACAACGCGCTGTCGACCCAGGAACACCATTTGATTGGAGCTGGAGGTGGCGCTGTCCCGTTCCTTATGGATGACTCCAAGATGTTGGGGCTGCTAAATGAAGGCTGGGGGAGCGACAAGGCCAAAAAGCTCAACACCATTGTAAAAATCACTGAAGGTCGAATCTGTGTCATCCGTCCCTTGGCCATGACTGTCTCGAGTAACACGCTTCTGGACGACCTCCACATGATCTTCACGATGCTGCGCTGCGACCATTGCTTTGTATGCGACCACGGAGCATTAGAAGGTGTCGTCACCACCAAAGGACTGCTGCGTTCCGGCGATTTCTCTGGTGACGCGTAACCGAATTCAAAAGATGGTTCGAATCAAGCCCTCTACATGTACATACATGTACAAGCTGCTAAATTCCTGGCAAGCAGAAAGGTTATGGTCCTGCTGACTTGATAAGTACTACTGTAGTAGGTTTTATTGGAGAATGCTTTATTTTTGACCAAAAAGACTTGATTTTGTATCGTGATGCTGATGTATCTACTGCCCAACTACATCAATCAGCACGAGATTTGTCCTATGTGAATTTCATTGTAAAACCACCCCTAGGCAAAAATAGCCAATCGGTTCCGTTTCCCCTGGTCTGGTTTAGTGGCGCTGAGGCCTCTCGAACGCAGTTTTAGAAACCAGAAATAAACGCCAAGTCAAGCATGCTATCCCCCTACAATTGGCGCTTTACAGACAGTCTATGTAACGGGGTACAATCCAGTGTGCCCCACGATACATAAAGAGTGACCCGTCACTCTTGTGGACACCTGGTACACGGTACCAGGTGCTCTCGGAGCCAGTCAGTGCATGACTACTTAGCTTTACTATATGTAACCTCTAGTTTGTATGAGACCCGAGCTTATCTTACTTATAAATACATCAGTCTTAAATCTACTCCCTAAGTAGCAAACCGTTCCCACTGAGGCCGGAAACACGTGGACTTACGTTCACTCGGGTAGTTAATTCCCTTAAGCACTTCCTCTGTGCAAAATGCTGTGTGACCCCGTCACATTTGGTAGCACTCGTAGTCAATCCAGCACCTTTGCGGGTAGATTGAACTACCTGAATCCTCTGTGCGCTCACGTTTGAGCCAAGATGGACCGAAGCGAGTTTTCTCGCTTGAACGACTCACAGTACGAGTCTGTTCGGAAGATGGGAGGCATCTTTTGACAAGATATCCTTCGCAGCTTGGCGGCGGCGACACCTGTCGAGCAACAAGAACGCGTGACTGCGTTTGAGACCTACGAGCGTGGTCTCATCGCTCACGTCCGCGGGAGTTTGGAGGTCTCGATGGCCGCTCCCCAGGCAACCAGGCCTAAGCCGGTGTGGCTGAAGGTCCCCGCGTTTGAGGGGAAGGAATGAGAGAACCTTCACTTCTGGGTCCGTGAGGTGGAGATCGACACGACGGCGGGTCTCATCTCGGACGAGTTAGTTCGTGTGGCGTTTGCCCTGTCCAACCTTGGTGGACGTACCAAGCACTGGGCATACACCAGGTATACGACATCTCCTGGATGTTTTGCATCCTGGGCTCAGCTGTGTGAGCAGCTTCGAGCCGCGTTCCTACCGGCGAATAATGAGTTCCGTCAGCGCTCACGCTTTCTCGCGTGCAACCAAGGTACACGTGACCTGCAAGCGAACGCGCAAGAGATGCGCACGTTGGTGGCATCTCTGGCAGGGGATCCTCTGCCTGAAGACGTCAAGACAACAGTCTCCATGGACGGCCTGAAGGCCGGCCCTGCTCGCACCCAGCTATTTCGGGTGCAAGCGACAACTATGGAGGAGGCGATTCGAATCGCCCTCCAAGAAGAGTACAGCCACAAGCAGGCTGGAACTCCTCAGGAAGAGGACCATCGCCACGATGAGAATGGCGTTCCTCGGGAGGCGGAGCATCGCAGCAATGACGCTGTTGCTCCTGCTGTCACGCAGCCCGGTGATACCGGTGCGTACAGCGAGCCCAAACCCATGGACTCAAGCTCAGCCGAGAGCTTGGTCCGCTGCTATGGATGTGGCGGACATGAACACTACTAGCCTGTGTGTCCCTCGCCAGTCCTCCGGAAGAGCCCGTGGATTCCACGTCCGGTGGCGCAGGCCACGGCCAGGTGAACAAAGACTCCCCGGCCACCAGTAGAGGCGGTATGCCCTACTGGAGAGCGCTAAGTCTTCGTGATGGGTGTGCAGGTTGTGCACACCACGGGATTTAGCCCAGAGAGACGTGGTTCTTTCAAACCGGTGAAGGGCAGTGAGGGCTGCTGGTAGTACACGCAGTGTACGGGGGTACGGTACCCCTTGAGCGTTTGATGAGTTCTGGGGCGTTGCTACGCCGCCGGAACGTCGCTTAGCATAGCGACACCATATCGCACTCTATGTCAGAGTGGCGGTCGTGGGCTGGTCCTTGGTGGGCTAGCCTTTGGTACGGTGAAGGAAGTACCAATGGTTCTCAACGGACCTGAGCGTTTCGGCTCGATGAACTCGCGCACCGCGGTGTCGCTCGCAGCTCTCGCCGAACATAAGGCACAGCCCGGACTTTGGTGTGGCAAGGCTGAGAAGGGCCTACCAGTCCAGGTCAATGACGGAGCGTTGGTGAGTCATGTTCCCACCTCCGTCATGACTGGGGCGTCTGATACAGACCGCCAGGACGCAGAAGCGTCACGGATCTGTCAACGCGCCGACAGCTCTGCGTACAGCAAGACCATGCTCCGCTGCGGCAATGCCACGGGCGTGGGTCTTTTGCCCGGCGTGTGGACCTGCTACATCAGCAGCGTCCAACGCCGAAGGTCGTCGCGCCGTACGGGCTTCGACAGTGGTTATGCCTTTAAGCGCTAACCAGGTGGGTAACTTAGGACCACACGGTCGCCCAGACCTTAACTGAAGAGGAAGGCGCTGAATGCGCTTCCTGTGTGGATAACACAGTACCACACGCAGTCGCCCAGACTATAACTGAAGAGGAAGGCATGACCGTGCTTCCTGTGTGGATAACACAGTACCACACGCAGTCGCCCAGACTATAACTGAAGAGGAAGGCATTGTTTATGCTTCCTGTGTGGGTAACACAGTGCCACACGAGGTCTCGAGTGCCTCTGATGTCGTCAACGAGACATCACGACGTGGGTAGCAAAGTTCCACGCAAAGTCACTCAGACCATAACTGATAAGGAAGTCGCTGTATGCGCTTCCGGTGTGGGTAACAGAGTTCCACACCCAAGGCGGGTAACATAGCTCCGCACACAGAGCCATTGGATCGATGCGCGAGGTTGTCTTGGCCTCGCCAGACGTGAGCAACTCGCTCGACGTCAAGTCGCGCAGACTCAAACTGCTGACGTGAAGGCTGTATGCCTTCGGTCGACACGGCCGACGCGGTCGACCATACCGACGCAGTGCACAGGGAGGAGAGCCGTTGCGCCTGCAAGTGGCTATTAGAAGCCACGAGAGACTCAGTAGTCTCGAGGTTAAGTGGGGGGGGGAGGCTTGAAAATACCTTTCCTCCCTGACTTTCCAAGAGGCAGGTAGCCGTCGTGCTGCCCGTGGCTATCACAAGCCACGAGAGACTCAATAGTATCAAGAGTAAGTGGGGGAGAGGCTCGGAAAGCCCTTTCCTCCCTGGCCTTGAGGTAAGACCAAGTTCCTTACGGAACCAGGTTTTCGCTTATATCAATACAGGCTAATAAAGCAAGTAATTGATGCTCGCTTCGTTAGCTAAACCCGAATGTTTGAATGGTTGTCGCGCTCACCTTCGACCACGCACCCTCTCACCACATCAATGCAGTAAGTAAATCCACTTTATAAGGCTCGGCGTGTCCTTCTCCTAAGCGATTTAATGCATGCATCACTTTTTTGATAATAGAGTACCTTCTCCACTGGTTGCTTCAGTAGTGTAGCTGACGACTTGCACGTGGTGGCTTTGCCGGGAGTGGTTGGGAGACAGAACTCGTTTACGGCCCATTCAGCGATTGCCTTGTAGGACATAGTACGAGAGAGTGACCACCTTCTCGGCCCAGGTAAGGCGTAGCCGCCTCGTAGGATTGCGGGGCATGGCGGATTTCGTAGCTTAGTAACGGCGGGATGTGAAGGTCGTTAAACTACATGCGCATAGTATGCATGTATTACATACATGTGCAAGGCGCCAAAAGCGCGCCAATTTCCATTGTTGAAATGTACAGTACTGCACCCCGTTTTCGCGCCCTTGGACCTATGATAAACTTCCGGATGTGATGATCCTGAATTCAAAAAAACTATTGAAAATAAGCTAAACTCTGATTTATTTTCAAATCCTATATGGTCCACCCCCGCGAAAACGGGGTGCAGTATTGTACTGGATTTTTTGCTTGTATCTCCGGTGGATTCAATCTTAGCTCAATACCTTTGCACATTCGTGCTGATAGGGTGATATTATTCTTTGTGGTAGTTTATCCCGTTCACTATTCACGCAGAATACTGTACTTTTATCGATTCACCTTTGTTTATCCAAATGATATGGCTGCCATTCGTACTTAGTTGGGAATCTAATAATTCCGCGTCCAATTACAACTTGCTCATAGGATTCCGGGCCTGTGGAGCAATACCCAAATACATTGGGTCGATATGTTGCTCCTCCACTTTCGCGTCGCCCATAGGTGCTCCATCTGACACGAAAAGAGTACCGACACGCTCGCCGTTGAGGATTCGCAGCAGGACTCTCTGCTCTGCCTTCGCCACCACAGCAGCACGCACGGCGCCACTGTCCACAGCGCGAATGCATGAGTGCAGCTTGTCCTTCTGTCCGATGGCCCCGACGCGACTCTCGGGCGCGATCATTTGCTTATCGCCCTGCTGGAACCTTGAAATGAGCTTGCGGCCGTCCTTAGTGCTCGTGTAGATACCGTCAACGTCCGTGATTAGCACCATGAGATCCACCGCCATCTCCTGCGCGAACAGCGCAGCTAGTGAGTCATTGTCCCATGCAATCTTGTTCTCCACGATAAGTGGCGTAGTACGCAGCGTGATGACGTCGTTCTCGTTGATAACGGGGATGATGCCCACGTCCAATAGGGCACGCATGGCGCGCTGCAAGTTGGTACGGACCTGTGGCTCCCTGAAGTCAGCGTCGGATGCCAGCACCTGGGAACAGGCCAGGTGGTACTGAGCGAAGAGCATCTCGTAGAGACTTTGGAGGCCGCTTTGACCGGCGGCAGCGCACGCTTTCTCGTCGAACTGAACGTTGTCGCCCACCTGACCGCCGAGATGCGACTGCATAGAGCCCGAAAGAAGATACTGGCGGTGTAGCACCATCTTGCCTATGGGCACGGAGCCGCTGGACACGAGAATGATGTTGTGGCCGCGCATATGCAGCGCCGCAATCTGCTCAACGATGTTGCCGATCTGGCCCATAGCTAACAGGCCTTCTGGCGAGTGCACGATCTCCGTGCCGATCTTGATGAGGATGGTGCGCGCACGGCGGAGATCGCGACCGAACTCGCGCATCTCTAGCTCAGACATGCTTCGGAGGTGGGCCCCACCAGCAATGGAGGGTGATTGGTCGGAAAAGGGCTTGAAGTTTGTAGGGCGCTTCTCGGTCTTTTCTCATGGCATCTGTGACGCGTGAAAAGGGCGAGAAGTGGCTCAGAACCAAGGTGCACTTGCATCGTTCTGTGTGAACGCTGGAGACGGTGAAGCGGTTTATCAAGGCGACCAAAACTGCAGCGCAAAGTTAGCGGGAGGTCGTCAATGTAGATGGCGTTTAATGCATGTAGTCAGCGAAGAAGGCGCACGTCAACGCAAGGGGACCAGGGCAGCATATGGATTAGCATTGACGAGATCTATGGACAGGGCACACGCATCTCGAGCAGCGTTGTGATTGCTTGTTGGTGGTACCCGAGAAGGCCGACGGTGAAAATTAACAAGAGAAGACTAACTATCGACTGACCAGCTCAACGCCAACAACTGCCCATATATTCCCTCTAGGCGATGGTTTCGCCCACCTTCTTGGCGGCATCCTGCAGTGAGCGCAATTTAACCTTCTGCTCTCCGTCCAACAGCCGTTTGTCCTCGGTCGAGAGCTCCTGGCCGAAGCGGTCTTTCTTGTCGGCCATGACGGCTGCGTACTCCTCCCACTCGCGCAGAAAGAGAGGCACAAATTTGGACGCCGCGCTCTTGTGCCGTTTGAACTCGTCACGTAAGTATTGGTCTCCGAGCACGCGCATATGCGGCTCCAGCTTCTGTCGGTGCAGCGTCAGGATGTGTTTATACAGCGCCAGCACCTTTGCTCGGTCCGCCATCTTTCGTATTCTCGATTGTCCATCTTTTAAGTTGTACAAATCCATTTTATGTTGCGTATATGTTGCCCAATCTCCTACGGTTGCTCATCATAATATGTTTTTTTTGAAATTGAAGACTTTAATATTATTTTAGTCTTCAATTTAAAAAAAATGCGGTCCATAACCAACGTGAACCTCGACTCGTGGCTCCTCGGCGAGGACAAGACCAGCGCCCCCCGGTCGTCGCTCAATGCCGTGGGGGCAAGTCCTCCGCCTGCCCCTAAGAGAAACTCAGTGCGTCTCACAGGCCACAGCTCCCCGCCCAAGTCCAACATGCTGGAGCTTTCGTACCCATTCCCCGTGAGCTCCAAACTGCGTAAGCTCTTCCGTCCTAATAAATTACAATGGAAGAAAAACATGGACAAAAAGCAGCGGCAAATGTTGGGGCTGGATACGACGAGCTTCCAAAAGCTGCAGGGCCACGTGCCGTTCACGCTCAAGGAGGTCGTGAAAGACCCAAAGAAGCTGCCGTATCTTTTGCAATTTCTTGCAGTGGACGCGGAGACTCCCAGCGATGCCACACACAGCAATTATCACCAGGTTTTACTATATCTAATGGAGATCGAGCAGCTCCAGACGGTGGACGAGGGGAAACAACGCGAGCAGGCTCGAAAGATATGGCACAAATACATCGACAACTCGTCCGAGTTTCAGATCTCGACGACGCTGGAGCTCACGGCCGAACTGGAACAGCTGGTGAAAGACAACATTGATAAGACAGACAAGGTGAACGACAGCTTTTTTCCTATTCAGAAACTGGCCTACATGAGGCTCACACGAGAGGAGATGCCTAGGTTTCTGAAGAGTGACGAGTACCTGCAGATGCTCATTGATACAGAGGACGGTACTAGAAGGATTCCGATGGAGAGGGTACTACAGCAACCACGAGCAGCTCACTACTTTTTGCTGTTCCTAATGCAAAGCCGACAGCATTTCGAACTGTATTTCTGGCTACATGTCGAGTATGTGCTGAAACCTCTAGTGGAAAAAGCCAACTACGAGCTCTTCTGGCGTCTAGCGCGCGTACTTGTGGATAAGGCACAGAATGACTCGCAGGCCATCACACTCGCGACCAAGAACGACTTACACCTTGCGGTGTCTAGTCGTCGATTTGATGATAAACTCCAACCCGCACAACCTAAAGCCAAGGCGCTTTTTAACAAGGCGCAGCAAGAGATTTTCGCCATGTTGCGGTCCTCGTGGTACGATCGATTTATCAAGAGCGATCTTTACAAAGTTGCGCTGAAGGATTCACTTATCCACTTTGATCTCGTGGAGTCGAAAGACTCGCCACCGAAGCTGCTGTCCAGAGCCTTCTCTTCTGCTGAGTACTCGAAGGTGCACAGCAACGCTGACGAGGCTGATGGGGAGGGTGATGCGGACAGGAATGAAGTCGGAGATGCAGAAGAGAACAGCGACAGCAAGCCACCAACCACGGAAAGCTCAGATCAGATGAGCACAAGCAACAGCGAAGCCGGAAGTCTGAGCGACTCAGAGGAGACTGATGAGCGCGGCTTTTCAAAAGTAATCTTGAATCTCGAGAGTATCATCCGACTGACTAAGCTTCCAGAAGGGCTTCAAGTCCACTTCCGACCGAACTACGAATCTCCTAGCGCTAGTGCACCCGTGCCGAAGGAAAATGACTGCGGCATCGATACCATTCTGACGTTCGCGACGTTCATGGAGAAGCCGGAGGGGGGGGATGCCGCTGCTACGTTGATGCTGATGTCTGTTCCCAATCCATATAAGGGAAAAGATAGCAGCGACGAGTCATTTGGGGATACTTCACGACGAATCAAGACCTTCCTTGTGCCAAGTGGACGGATCCTCATCAAGCGGTCAGGTGGTGAAAAATGTCCCGCTGATATGCTGTTCCCTTTCCAACAAAGTGGCCGAGATGGATTCTTGTTTGGGTCCGTCTACTTGACGTATGAGCCCATGCACGTGGGATCATCCAACGAGGAAATGTATGTAGCTAAAGGCTTCTGCTTGCTATCTCACTTACCGCTTGTGAACTCGCTTAGAAAGTTGGTGGAAGATCACGTCCAAAGCGCCCAAGATCAATCCAGTGTTTTCGCCCACGATCGATTGGCACTGCTGTTTCAAAGCAGTCTCAGCTGGAAAAGAACAACGATTACCAGCGCTAGATTCCACACGTACGTGCACCCGGAAATGCGACGTCTGGCTCATCGCAAACACAGCAGCATTCTGAGTCTACCTTTGAGTACACTGGAGACACAAGTGGACGTCCCGATGACAATTCTTTTCGAGCAGTTTGGGACAGCAATGGTCCTCCAAATCCTCGCCAGCGCGGTGCTGGAGTGCAGTATTGTGGTGGTTGCCAGTCAGTATTCGCTGCTTACAATGTGCGCTGAGGCTATCCGCAACTTGCTGCGTCCGTTCTCATGGTGTCACGTGTATGCTCCTGTACTACCGAAGCAACTGCTGTCTTATCTCCAGTGTCCCACACCAATTCTCGTGGGTGTCAACACTGAGTTTGCCTTGCGATCCAACCTTCCAACGCGTGGTTTGTACCTCGTTGCTGACGTGGATCGCAAGGTCGTGGAATATGTTGGCGATCAGTCCGTGTCTTGGCGTGGTCTGGGGCTGCGAGATGATGTGGACGAGGGATTGATCTTTCTGCCCAGCTGCTTCGAAGCTGCGAAACACGAACTGGACAGATTACTCTTCCCGAGAACGCTGCAGTTCGACGCAATCGGAGGATGCAAGACGACGTCAATCGACAATGTTGACAGCTCCTTTGCCTTTTCTTCTCCCCCCGAGACGGAGGCCGAGCGCGATGAGCAGGTGCGGGGAATCTGCTTCGATGTGTTCTCGGAGCTCTTGAGTGGCCACACGAATGCCTGTCTAGTGGTGGGCGACACGAAGGAGTCTGTGGTTATCTTTGACGAGACCGAGTTCCTTGCGACTCGTGCAGAAGAAGACCAACCGTTCTATCGGGCTCTACTGCGTACACAATGCTTCTCAGAAATCGTCAGTGCACACCGGATCAATATGAGTTCGAAAGAGGCCGACACGGAGACGTTGGAGACAGATGAGGACCTGCAGGAAGGAATTATCTAGTTAATGTCAACCTTTGCTAGTCTCGCGGTTTCTAACAGTTATGGCAGGCTTGCAAATGCGAATGTCTCATCTTAGTGATGAAATTTCTTCGCTGGCGTGCCCTCCTCCATCTGTACATCTTCAGCAGCGCGGCCTCGCTTAAGAGGTTGCACATCGGCGGCTTCACCCAGCATCACGTTCTCCTCGCTGCCGGCAATCTTTGCAGCTTCCATCTCAGCAGTAACCATCTCAGTGTCCCCCGCAACAACGTTAGCCTTGGGATCCTGCTCGGTGCCATCTTCAGCACTTTCGAGCTCTTGAGTTTCCAGCGCGTCTGAAGACTGTTCCGTTTGATCTTGAAGCCACGCCTCTTTGTCCTGAGATTGGCTTTCGTTGGCGTCTTCGTTCTTTGACGAATCCGCAGTCGGACTTGTGCCGTTAATCTCCTCGTCAGGGACGGCATCCCCATTTGTCGAAGCGGTATCAGTGCTATGCGATTGGAGCGGATTTCCTGCTGCACTCACTGGTCCTCCTAAAACCATGTCGTCGTCGCTGTCATCGTCGCTTAAATCTGCTCCGCGACGCAGCCGTCGTCTGGGACGAGCTGTTTCTAGCCTCGCCAGGTCCTTTTCTAACCTGGATTCCCGCACAGTATTCTCTTCGAGCTCGCCGTTGTGTTCACCGTCAGAAGCACTTAGTTCGTTCTCCTCTTCATCAGATGAGTCGTGCGTCTTTCGGTGAAGCTTCAGGTATTTCACACGACGCTCGATCTGCTCCGGTGTCCGGTCGCGTTCCTGGAACATGTCTTCGTACGAAATGACCTCGTAAACGGACGGCAGATGGCGAAACTTCATGTAAGCTTTCGCCAGGTAGCGATCCTCAACCTTGCTCCAGTTCTTGGCTCGCTCTGTTGCAGCGCGAGACAGTGGCGTCTTCCGTTTCGTCTTTGGTTTTGCAGCGGAAGCAGCTTCTGAGGAACCTGCCACATTACCTCCAGCCTCGCCCTCGTCTTCTTTGCTTTCCTTATCCACAAGCGACGTCGACTGGAAATCCGCCGGACCGAGTGTGAATTGGAACTCAGCCTCGCCCTCAAGTTCTTCATGATCCAAAGCAATGCGGTGCCGTCTTGACTCGTTAAGCGCCTCAATCCGCCTCTCTCGACCCAGTGCCACTGCCTCTGATTTGGACTTGCTCATCGAATCGATCGGGTCGTAACTTCGCTGAATGAGCATGCACGATTTGGAAGGGTACGTCTGGCGTAGAAGAGCCTCCACAAAGAGTAAGTTGTTCTTGTCTGCGAGGGTGAAAAAATCACGAACAACGCCACGAATGAAGTCCAGAAAGTTCTTGTACTCCGGGAGACGCTGGATGTACGAGTCTTGGAGCATCTTGTTGAACAGCAGGAGCATGTGGATGTTAAAAAGCATCGGTTGCATCGTCCATGCTTCTTGCTGATAGATCTGGAAGTGCTTTGTCCGATAAAAAAACGAGTGAATGTAATGGTTCACTTTTGCGCTGTTCTCACGGTAGTAGGCCAGTAGGGAGCAGTACATCCGGATTGTGTCAGCTGAGACCATACTTGAAAAATACTTTCGCACGTCAAAGTCAGCTTCCTTGCGCTGCATTTCCATCAAAAGCTGCGCTCGCCTTTCCGTTTCCTCCTCATCCGTCGAACTGTCATCCGAATTCTCGCCATCTTTCGACTCTCCATCCTTGCGTTTTTTCTTCTGCCGCTTTCTAAACCAAGGCATGTACGACGGTGAGGCACTGACACCTGCAGCAACTTGTGGTACCCAGTGGGGTTTACTTACTTGTCTAGGTATGCTTTCCTTCGTGAGAGTACCTTGATAGTTCCTTGAGAGTCCAACACTTTGAACACGAGCTGTGTTCAAGAAAGATACCGCCACACACAGTCAGTCAACTCAGTACAAGTGTAGACGCTGAGCCTCAGATCTATCAGACTCACATGCGTAAGGGTGACAACATCGACCACATATGCGTTTGGGAAAAGTCCTGGAGACCACGTCTTCAACAAAACTGGCAGGCGGTCCAGGAAGTCACGCTCATAGAAAATTTTATGCTGCAATGAGTCAGCGATCCGCTGAAAGCGGGAATCATCACTGGCCGTCAGCTCTGCGAGGTACGCCATCATCTCGGCCAAAAGCTGGACAGAAACAGTCATGCCGTGATAGTTGTTCATCGTGGCGTAATTTTCAATCGACTGGAGCACAAAGTTGAAGGAAAACATATCCAGCGTTGAAAGTACCGCCTTCTCGTCGTAGCCCGGCTTTTCAGGGGCTGGAGGGGGGGGAGTGGTAAAATCCAACGCATTCTGAAGCTCCGTCGTCTTCTTTTGGACTGCCTTCAGCTGATGCTTGTAGTGTGACTTCAATGCTTGAACTTTTAAGCGATGATACGTCGTAAGGAACCAAACGAGGTGAAAGTACTGGAGTCGATCTGTGGAGATCAGTTTGTTGCTGCCTCTACGGAACTCTGTCTTCAACGAATTGGTGAGCTGAGAGTATGATTTTCCAATGATGGAGTCGCAAACCTCCTGGAGGACATTCATGGTTAGTCTGACAGAACAAATCACAATGCAATACACAGTCAGCAAAATCCAAAGCTAGGTCAAATATCCGCAAACCAAACTAACTCATCCGACTCCGTCACTTTTCCTTTCCCGCCAAAAATCTCATGGATGTCTGTAACTGGGGTTGCACTCTTCTTTCCTCTTCTCCTCGAGACTGGCTTCTTGGCTACCTGAGGGACCTGATCGTGCACTGTCTTCGAGAAATCCGACAGTACTGTCGTCCGTCCAGTCGGACCGACCATCGTCAAGATGCCGCCAAAGTTGGAGTGTCTCCGCGATCCTGATTGATGCAACGCCGACGCCTTCTTTTCGTTGGTAAGTGTCGTCAGGAGATCTCCACCAGCGGGCGCCACAGTTCGTCCAGAGCTCAAATCTGCAGAGCTTCGCGACGACGTCGATGCAGCGAGCTGCTCACCGGAGCATTTGGTCGTCTCCCCCGCCCACCGTTTCTTTGCGAATGCCACCACCGACTTGGGCTGAGAGCAGTCAAGCGTCAAGTCGATCATCTCCATGATCATCAAGTTCCATTCTTTGTTCTCGGGCGAGTCAATATCTTGTGCGAAGAGTAGTATCATCTCGTACACGTTCTCTTCGTGCAGTGTGCAGATCAAATCCTCCTGTAGATGGCTAAAGTACGACGTGGTCGATGTCACGAATCTGGGGTCTTCGTTGGGGATTGCCAGTAGGTTCCTGATCAGAGTAAGCACAATTTCCATGTTCAAATAGTCCTGAGCCGTGCGTTTCCCTTTACGGGACAGCGGCTCCACGAGGATCGTCATCATGATGGGGATGATGTCACAGCGCAAGAATTCGTGCTTGTATTGACGCAGGTACTTCAGCTGCTGGGCGATGTTGGTCGAGTCTTTTGGGGGTTCCATAGTTAGCATCACCAGCACTTTGAGGATGGAAAAGACTAGCGCCCAGTCGTGCTGGTGGTTGATAAGCAAAGGCAGCAGCTTCTTCTGTAAGATTTTCCACTTGCCCAACTGCTTGGCCACCAGTTTGTGCTTGGCGTGGTCTCTACGCACCGCGCGCTGCAGGTCGTGTATCCACTCGGCGCAGTTCTCGCCACGCATGAGCACAGGCGGTTCACCTTCGTTTTGAACGCGTAACATTCCCAGGTTGGAGCACACGAGCAGGAGCTCGTTCATCATGGCGTCGTCCAGATGTGGATCATTTGCGTCGGTATCTTCGTCGGATGAGGCCACGCCAAAGTCCTCCAGCTCTTCGTCGCGCTCGACAGAGGCTGTGGGCTCATTGCGCTCGGCGTCGCTGCCAGTGCGGGTAGTGCTCTCGGCCATTGCTGCTAATTTAGAAATTACCTTGGTGTAGCGGAAACACTCGACTAAGTGCGATAATAGAAATCTGGCGCAATTTGAGAAATCGACGGAGCAGGAGCGAGTGCAGGGGCGAGTGCAGGACCAGCAGGCACAAGAAAAACAGCAGACGCAAGCCGCCGAAGAACTCGGACAACAGATCCCTCAGAAAAGCCTGCAACCTTCATCTCAACAAGAGCAAACCCCTCAACCGCCTCTACAGCAACCTCACCCGAGCATCGTTTCCTCCGGTTATAAAGCGGCCTCCATGGACTCCGTACCGGCCAGTCAGCATATGCAGGCTCAGCCTCAGCAGTTCCATACCCAGCAATTGTATAATCCTCTTCAACAATACCAGCAGTCACAGTACAACCCCCAGCATAGCCCCCAGCAGCAGCAGATGAACGCCTATGGCCTCAAGGCGCCGCCAGCCATGGCATTTGGCGCCTCCTCCACTACCGTCGAAGAGCGCGCCACTCACCTGCTGGCAGCCTGTGAGTCCTGCCTCGTGGTCTCGCGTATACCGGGTGTCGACATGTCATTCCGCCGCATTATGGAGCGCAAATGTCCTCGTTGTGGAGGCACCCTGGTGCTTCCTCAGGAGGTCATGGAGATGCTCATCCTCTACGGCAATTTCGTTACCGAGTCGGTGGCCGTCGCGCTCGTGCTGGGCACTATGGTGCTTCATCCATCACTACGGGCGGATTTTATGGCGGCTGCGATGAACGATTTGCTCACTCCACTCCAGACCGACTTTGTCTATGATGTGGCTGTACCCAAGCGGCCAGAAGGACTGGGCATGTCCCTGCGAATGAATCGTGAGTGGACTTAGCACCTGGTTAGTGTATATGGAATGCTGACGTTGATGTGCTGTATGGCTGTGAGTTTGCAGAGGGAAATCTTGTGGTTGGCGGCTTCATCGACTTTGAGAATAATCAGGAGAGTCCATCCGTTGCTGCTCGGATCATCGCTGTGGACGACATTTTGGTGGCGATCAACAAAAAATCCATCACGTCGTGGACATTTGAGAAGAGCATTAGCATGTTGGCTCATGCGGCGTCGCCTGTGTACTTAACTTTCCGGCGCCGCCAGCTGGTCATATTGCTCTAGAGGAGGCCGCTGGGGAGAGGGCTCCACCGCTTCAGCCCTAAAATGAATCTATTTTTTACTAAAGTAATTCCGCTCAAGAAATTGTAGACATCTGGTGCTGATGAAGGAGGTGTCCAGCGTGTTTAGAGTTAAATACTATGTACATGTGCTCAGTACTAGCTGCTGCAGTAAGTTTTTCCGGACTGCAGCAAGCCCTTCATGGTCACAACACCCTCGAGTGCGCCACGGTTGCACACAAAGCAGTGGTCACAACGCAGCATAGTGAACAGCATGTGAACGTCACCCAGAGATGTGCTGCTCGAGATGGTCATGCCAATAGGCTGGATAACGCAGGTATTCCCTTCCGTGATTTGGACCCTGTCATTTAATTTAGCTCTCTTGAACGCGGACCATCCATCACTCAGCAAGTTGAGCATCTTCTCGTCGTTCATCAGGAACGGGGTTCGAGCACTGCCGTCCAGATGATTAGCTGCCGAAGTAAGCGCGCTGTACGTCCCGTCGACCGACCTATTCCCATTCAGTCCTCCAACCCGGTTGCTTCTGATGCCGTCGATCATAGTAGTCCAAGAGAAACCTGACGACGATAATTTGGGCTCTTCACCGAGATCCTGCTCCACTTCGTCAAGCCCGTTCGCAGCATAATACGCCCGTACATACTTTTTGAGATGCATGGAGCTGACAACTCCCAACAGGATCATTGATTTTTCATCTTGAACGACAGGAATGTCCTGGTTTGGCAGCCGATGAAGTGCCAGTAGTAGCCTTGCCACTGTTGTTTTCTTCGTGATGTACACTGTGAAGACTTCAACGATATCTCCAGCACAAGCATCTGGTTCAAAGTCCATCATCGGGAGAAATGGAGTGCCGCTTACTATCAGCAGTGTATCGTAGACTGACTTTTCCTTGAACAGGCTTGACGTTGCTGTTGCGGCCAACACTGCACAGAAGATTGGGAGAATCAACGACATTTCACCTGTAATTTCGACAGTGATTACAGCAACAGAAACAGCTTTCGTGGCAGCGCCCCCAAACGCAGCAGCGCCCGCAAGGGCATACGCGCCAGGGATAGCCCCGACACTGGGGAATAACGCTGACAACGACTCACCAAAAAGTCGACCGAAAGCAGCACCGCCGATAAACGTGGGAACCCAGACGCCAGTAGGCATCTTGAGCGAAATACACACTGGCATAAGGAATATGAAAATGACTGGTAGAACGGAGAGCGTGTAGTACTTGGAGAACTTGGTGAACGAGTCTGGGAGATCCGATTCCGTGAACAACGTTGAGAGTGTGTAAATCGTCGTGCTGCGGGCGAACTCACCCGGGGCGTAAGTCAGAGTTCCACACAGAACGGCGACGATGAAAGGATCGACCCACTCGACAAGAACTCTCTTCCAGGTGTGTGAGGATTTGCGTAAATCTCTCCGAGTCTCAGCAATGACTCGTAGTAACTTGATCATCGCAGTGCTCATGAGTCCCAGAATCACTCCCATCAACATGTACAATGGGATCTCCCAGATGGAGAAGGGGTGCCCGCCGAACGACGTGGCTAGAATTGCTGTGGTCGCTTGCTTGGAAGTACTCTCCACTAGAACCAACGTCATCCGAAGCATCACAGCTCCAGACACTGCACTGATGAACGCCTTGACGTAGTTCGACATGAGGTAGTACGTCGCGGTGACTTCCATTGAGAACAACACGCCACCGATTGGAGAGGAAAACAGGGATGACACACCCACTGCACATGCTGCTGCCAGGAGCTGGATTCGGCCGTTGAGATGAGAACTAAAGCCACTGTAAAATGGCAGTCGGAGAAGATGGTGTGTCACGATGGACATGATGTGCACGTTGCAACCTTCCGTGCCTACAACGAGACCTGCACCCACCGAGCAACTAAGACCCAGGATCTTTGTCACGAGTGTCGTAGAGTCGAAGTAGCCAGGGAGATACAAGCTTGGATTAATCCCTGTGAGGATCGCCTTCATCTGTGAAACACCAGAACCTTCAAAAGACGCAAAACGTTATACTTCCACACACACGCACAACGACAACACTTCAATGGTTCCCCTATTTACCTGCAGCTACTGGCGCTATCCGTGTGATGAGAAGACCAACCAGAGAGAAAACCACTGTGTCAAATAAAGTATCGTTCCATCTCTGACGTTGTCTGGCTAACCATCTTATTTCTCAAGTCCAGCAATTCCTGGCAGACACTAGAATACATGAAACCATCGGGTTATGAGCCCACTTTTTATCTTCCTGTCCATTACGAATTCACCTTCTGATCCCGTAATTTAATGGCCCAGCAATAATCCCCAAGAGCACCAAGAAGCTCACTGCATTGAGCTGTCGTATGAAGTATTTACGCTTGCTCTTAGCGCGCTGTCGCTCTCCACCAAAGAGCGAGCTACTGGACATGGACCTCTGCGCCGCATACTTGCGGAATGCATTCAGAAACTCTGAGTCTTCGCTGCGAGCGTCCACATCAACTATATAATCGTCAATGTCCTCGTGGTTATACGATGCTGCACGCTGCTGGAACTCGCTGAGACTTGCGATTCGCCCCGTACGGCGTTTATGAGCCGGCAGCAACTGATCCTGCACTTCATTGGCAGTGGAGACCATCGCTGGGCGAGAATGCGTGGCACGATGCGCCACGCTACAATGTAGCACGTGTCATGTCCCACCCACGTGATCGAAAACAGTTACAGTACGGTACTGCACCCCGTTTTCCTTATTTCTTCTAACAGGATTTAAAATATTAAAAACATTATTAATAAAACCAGTTTTATTAAAATATTAACTCAAGACTCGCATAAAGATGTTGACGCCGGCGGTGCTAATTGGCATCGCTGCAGGCGCCATGGTGTTCATAGGCTCGCTGGTGGCAGTTTTCTTGCTGCTTCGCCACGGAGGTTCATTTGACCGCATGAAACAGGAGGCGGTGGGGCTACCGGCCACGCTGGGCGAGCAAAAGCCACTGTTGTACGATTACCTACTGGTCAAGGCGAAGACGCTGGGGCTACGTCCGCCGTCGCTTGGGTCCGACAAGGTGCTGGAGGGGAAACGAGTATGCATTAGGGACTTTGTAGCCTCCAGTGATGCCGCTGGTCTCTTCGCCGTTTCGTGTGGGGATCCAAACGGTGGCATCTTCCAAAAGTTGTCCTTCGACGCTGACGAAATGATATGGCGGTATCTCCCCCATGGACCCTTCGCGTCGGTAGATGAGTTCAAGAAAGTTTACCTTACCGAGGAGACTGACGCTCATCACTTTGTGCTGACGGAGCGTGAGACCAAGCTACTTATTGGCATGGTGACGCTGGGGGGACATTCTCCACGGAACCTCCGCATCAAATTAATGAACTTGTGGCTCGCTCCGGCGTTTCAGGGCTCATCAGCACTGACCGAGATTGTGCTGCTGCTGTTAAAATATCTATTCGATATCGGGTACCGTCGAGTGGAGTGGCGATGCGATGGACATAACGTACGGGCGAGACGAGCTGCACACTCATTGGGCTTCACCTTTGAAGGCGTGATGCGGAAGCATCGCATCGTCAAAGACTGTAATCGGGACACAGTCGTCTTTGCTGCTATCAACAGCGACTGGGTGGTCATGGAGGAACACTTGCAACATAAACTTCATCAAGCTTTGCAGAAGGAGGAATCAAGCGCACCAGCTGAAGGAGATACCGGTAAGAAAGCACAGTGAGACAGTAAGGTGTGGTAGTCTATGATTTGTGCTCTTTTTTTGGATGTTATACTACGCACTGTAGTAGCCCAACTACCCGCAGCCTAGTCGATCTTTTCAATTCGATCACTCTGACTGCCAGATCGCCGCGCCTTCCGATAGGCATTGTGGTCGACCAAGTGCACTTCTGCATGTTCGAGCCAATTAATGACAGGAAAACTATTCTCCGGGTGGTTCGTAAGCCAATGATATGTGAACCAAACTTGGATCGTGATGTAGATAGCGATGAGGACGTCTAGTGTGTAGTGCAACCGCGTGCCCACGATAGCGAAGATGCCACAAGCCGACAGGATGTAGTTGTAGTAGCGAATCATCCACAACACACACGGGAAGCGCCGGGTGAACGGCGTATTCAATTCTGAGCGCACACAGTACTGCAAATATCAACAAACGGTTTCGTAAGTCGAACGTAATAACGACCACCGCAAATATCTAGTCGTACCGTTCTGGCGAACATGCAACAGAGAATTAAAAAGACTGCGTGACCGCTGAAGATCATATCACCGCATGTGATGTGCTGTGACGGGCGGATCAACACTTTCCAAGCGCGGAAGAAGGCTCTGCATGATAAACACGGCAGGACCGACGTGGTTAATGACACGCTCGCATTGCAACAACAAAATCCACAGCAAATTCGCGTACGCACTTTGGAAATATCGGCAGAGACTTGTAGTTGCCGCGTTCCTTGCTGTCGAACTGGGAGATACACATGGGACTGGCGTCTGGCAGCGACGTGACCGCCACGCAGCATGCGCGCATAACGTTGATGATAGCAAAGATGAAGCAGAAGCGACGCAAGATCAGCAGGCGCTACAATGATGAATCCAAACAAAACATTACGCAAACTTGCCAGCGATGTAAAGAGCAAGGGACGAACGTACCCGCGGATGCAGAATGAGGATAAACGACGTCAGCATACCAACAGCAGCAAGGAACTCGTCGGGCAGGTCGAACCATTCAATGTACGTGGTTTGGCCGTAAATCTTGGTCATAACAAATCTAAAGAGGTCATGTCCAAGATCCGGAAGAGTCTTATGGTCGGTACTCTCCTTGGCAAGATCAAGAATCACCACGTTGGGAGTGCGCCAACTGTCAGCAGTTACGACGTCAGCCACCAAACATCTATTGGAGGTTGAAAACTCCTTACCCTGCAATTACAGCAGCCAGCGTGTTGAGGTACGAAGCGATGGCGAATATCGAGAGCGAAAACGCGAGTCGCGAGAGGTAGGCGTAGCTAGCCATCTCGGCGATGAAGCCCTGGCGGCCTGAGTGGTCGATGGCACGCCCCTTAATGTACTGTAAGTTCTCACCTACACGTGTGCGCTGGTCCGATACGTAATCTGACATGTCCTGAAGGTTCTTCTCAACGCGCGAGCGTAGCAGAAGTCCGCGCCTGGACACGAGTGCACGCGCCGTGGCAGCCACGACGCCCACGAGCAGAAGAAATGCCGAGATGACGATGATGAAGCCTGCTGGGTCAAAAGCCGACACGGGCCGCGCCTTCATTGCGTAGAAGTGCGACGTGAAGTAGTCCGTCCAGCTCTCCATCTAGTTCCTTCCAGTAATGGTGTCGGCGACGCTGCAGTGAGGGGGCAACTGCTCTTGAAGACAAATAGAAATCGTGCAATCGTGATTGGTCGCAGGATTATACTTCAATTCAGTACTACTGTAGTAAGGTCGAGTATGGGCTAGTACCACCAGTTGAAGCAATTACTAATACTGTAATTACATGTACTTTATTATAGGCGTCACGTTCGTGTAACATGAGCTTGTGGTCCACATCATGATGTTTTGAACTAGAGTGATTTTCTACCCCCTATAAATTTTAGTGCGTACGGATTCAAATAGAACTGCCATTGTGTGGCACGGCGTAGTTTTCTTAGAAACCACCATCGAAATTTATATTTTAGACACTATTTATTAAGAGTACTGGTCTTTATTTAAGCTTTAATTTCACCCAATAATATCACTGCATTCTCAATATATTCAGCCAATCAGACTACATTTGGTAGCAGTGTGAGACACAATCGTAGAGAAATGATACCATTTCTGCATGATCGCTTCTTTCAAATTCCATCGACAGTATACACGATGAATCAACACTGTAACGGGGTACAATCCAGTGTGCCCCTTGTTACATAAAGAGTGACCCGTCACTCTTGTGGACACCTGATACACGGTACCAGGTGCTCTCGGAACCAGTCAGTGCATGACTACTTAGCTCCACTAAAGGTAACCTCTAGTTTGTAAGAGACCCAAGCTTATCTTACTTACAAATACATCAGTCTTAAATCTACTCTTCTAAGTAGCAAACCGTTCCCTTTGAGGCCGGGAACACGTGGACTAACGTTCACTCGGGTAGTTAATACCCTTAAGCACTTCCTCTGTGCAAGGTGCTGTGTGACCCCGTCACACTTGGTAGCACTCGTAGTCAATCCAACAGATTGAACTACCTGAATCATCTGTGCGCTCAGCGTTTGAGCCACGATGGACCGAAGCGAGTTTCCTCGCTTCAACGACTCACAGTACGAGTCTGTTCGGAAGATGGGAGGCATCTTTTGACAAGATATCCTTCGCAGCTTGGCGGCGGCGACACCTGTCGAGCAACAAGAACGCGTGACTGCGTTTGAGACCTACGAGCGTGGTCTCATCGCTCACGTCCGCGGGAGCTTGGAGGCCACGATGGCCGCTCCCCAGGCAACCAGGCCTAAGCCGCTGTGTGTGGTGTAGTGATTTCTCCGTAGTTGCGGATTATCACCCGTCGACAAAGACGTGACACCGCCCAAGATGTTCAAGCAACGAACCCTCGGTCATGTGATGTACGGAGACGCCAAGGTGCAAGGGACTCGACGACGTCACTTCCGAACTTTCAACGAGTATTGGATACGGCCATTTGTCACTGAATCCAGGCTGTCCTTATTATTAATAATGGACTGGCCGGATTCGCATTCAGCGGACCATCTACGGTACGAACCCTCAGTGGCGGTTGGGATGAGTTCGCGGAAGACTCAGCGACCCTTGGAAGGCACGTTCACCGTCTGGGACAGGGCGCGGACCGTTAAAGATGCTCATGCGACGGTACAGACGACGCTTGGCATGCAAGAAGATCCATAACGGATCATTGTTCACTTGATATTTGTATACTTGATTAGGACTTCTTATTAGGAATAGACCCGAAAGGGTAAGCTTAAATACAGAACAGAATTTCCACTCAAGCACACAGAGCGACGTCCGGCTTCAAGGTAAGCGTCAAGTCAAGCTTGTTTGAGTGTGTTATGCCTGTCGGTGAACTCGAAGCTCTGTAGCGAGGGTTCATCCGGCAAGGCCAAGAGACTTTGTGTATTGGCCGATTACTATCGGGAGGTTTTACGTGACGGCTTATTGTTGCCTATTTGCACGACTGGGAGTGCTTGAATTGCATCCCTTTTATTCTTCCAACCGAGTGTTGAACACTCGGTGATCTCGTAAAAGGATTACCCGTGCCTGGTACCCTTCCGCTGTTGGGACCACGAGGATTCATAACACCTACTAGCTTTGCTCGTGCTAGTAGCGTGTTCTTATTTTTACTGATTGGCCTATATAAGTAGTTTACAAGGTCGAGTAAGTAGTTTACAAGGTCCAGTTTGTCCCGGTGCAAGGGCAGAACTGGGGTCTTCAGGTCCGCCCGAACGATCGTTTACTATCCTAGTAGACGTATTGTTGTGGGAACATCCTAACTACATCTGTAGCTAGAGTTCACGTGGGATTTCCAACACCACAACTGGTGCCGCGACCCGGGAACAGATTGTGACCATTGTGAACTGTTTGTATGGCCTTCCAGTTTACGAGCTACCAAGAGAAGAAGAACAAGAAAAAGACAAGAAACATGGCGAAAGGACAACCGACGGTACCAGTTACGCCTGCCAAGTCTGGCGGGGCTCGCAACGAGAGTTCAAGCCCGGCTGCGGGCTTTGCAGCCGCCACCGAGCTTTCAGTGAGCTTCGACGACGAAGCGGACATTGGTCCTGACGCCCACGATTATGAAGATTACGAAGACAAGACGCCGGCTCCAGAGCCAGGCGCAGCGACGCCGGAGACGGCCACGCTATCATCGGGGCTGAGCGGGGCGACCAGGTCCCTTTCAAAGAACCTCGCCGATGAGCTCGATTATGTTGCGGGACCGGAACCGGCCTACGATGATTATGACGATGGGACCGAGGGTTCTAAACCTTCGGTGGCGAGTGCAAAGCATTCAGCACTGCTGAAGGCACCTCGCCCACCTATCAACGGTGATACACCAGCCGCCAAGCGCGTTTTCGACCGTGTACAAGCGCTGATGCAGATCGATGAGTGGATACACCTGTTCAAGCTCATCCCCAAGAAAAAAGCCGACTGGCCTGCGCTTGCGCAGGAACTTCAATACCCAGTCAACTCGGTTTCGACTAGCCAAGTTGCCGAGGATTCAGTTTCGCTACTGTTGTCGCTGGGCTTCGAGAACGAGACGTACACATCGACGATGTCGCTCCAAGATTGGAGTCCACATGAAGCCGGAGCTGCTCTCCAGAAATGGAAGAAGAAGCTTCGGAAGGCGTTTGGCGCTGTTGGCATCAACACCGGAAAACAGCCTGTGAGTCGAGCGATCGTTCAAGATGAAGATCCGTCCACGATTCCACTGCCGCCGACACCCCAACAACTCGTTCGTACTCCTCCGACCAAGCATGGAGCTGAGCGTGGTGCATTTGGCACTACCGAAGCTTCACCGTACTTTCAAGACTCGCACATGGTCACGCCACGTTCGGAGAGCCGTATGCAGCGTCTTTACGCTGGCAAAGAGGGTTCGTTCGGTCGCCGAGGTGGTCCGCGAGCTCCCAAAGGTGGTGCCGGACGTCGTCAAGTCGACAGTGATGGTTCGTCCAGTGACGATGACATTTTGGTGCGTACATTCGACGAGGAAGATCCTCAAGTCGAGTTGATGCGTCAGATGAATGAGCTGGCGACGCTGAGCGACGTGGACCCGACACCGAGGATTGAAATGGCATCGCACCGACCGTTGGATCGCATCACGCCGTTCTCAGGCTCTCGCAACAAGAGCGAGAACTGTATGCAGTGGATCCGTGGGTTCGTCTATGAAATGACTGGAACCCACACGGATGCCGACAAATGGTGCATTCCATTTGTGCTAAGTCTCCGGGACGGAGCCATTCATTGGTTCCGTCAACTTCCGAAGAAGACGAAGCGCAAGTGGAAGCTGTTGAGCGATGCGTTCATCCGCTACTACTGCTCGCGGTTCACTCAGACGGCACTGTCGCGTTACTACTCCGCCAAGCAGGAACGTAATGCACATCTGTGCGACTACATAAACAGGCTGAATGGCTACGCTCGGACCGCCCGTCTACATTTCGAGTGATCGCGACGCGAAAGAACACGTACAGCAGTTCCTGGCAACATGCGATGATGACAAACTAGCGGAGAGTCTCTACCACGCTCGAGTCGCCGACATTCACGAGCTCGAAGAGATCATCGAAGATGTTCTCAAGGGCAAGGAGAGAATGGCCAAACGTGACAGTGAGTACCGATACTCCAAGAGCCGTGACGCGCGACGCGACGATGGGTACGCCCGCAACAATCGGCGTGATGACCGTCGCCGCGATGACACCCGCAACAAACCAAGAGTGACACTCATTGAAGCCACAGTAGACGACCTACTAGCTGAATTAGAAGGTCGTGAAGCTGCTCAAGGGGGCACCGAGTATTCAAACGAAGATCCGAACGCTTACAGCGATGTCCAAGACGAGTACAACGACTTTCAGCCCGATAATACGGATGGTGATTTCTCATTGGATGAAAATGACCGATACCTCGCCGCTGCTAACGAAAATGAGCGCCGTGCAGCTGCTGAAGGCACCTACGCACGTTCAGACAACCGTCAACCGCGTGGAAACATACCTGATCGCGAGAATGGCTTCAATCAAGATCGCCGAAGTGGTGACCGTGGGTTCAATCAGGACCAACGCGGTCGACGTGACTTCAACCGCGACAACCGACGCCCACAGTACGGACCATGCGCGGTGTGCGGTGGCATGAGTCACTCCGCCCACTACTGTAACAAGCGATGCAAGTTCTGCAAGCAACTCCACGATGCTGGACAATGCGAACTTTTCCGCAGCTTCCAAGACCTTGCCAAATTCGTGCGCACTAAAGGCACGAAGGAGGAACTCCCGCCAGAGCTCAAGGCCGTCGTTCAAGAACGTCATTTAAACTAGGCAGCCCGCCAACTACAACTGGGTTGGTCCCTATCGGGCTGCCACAGTTAACCGAGCCTTCAATGGAAGCAGAGTGTATCTTTGCTTTCATGGGGCAGAGTGAATGGCCTGATAATGACGTAACAAGTGTGAACGCGACGGAAAATGAAAAGGAGAGGAGTAGAATCCTCGGTGGAGGTGTTGGAGAGAGAGTGGAGTGTGCTGATGCTGATGAGGGCACCAGAGAGGGTTCGTTCGGCTTGGTTTCGAGTGCAGCGCGAGACGAGCCCAAGGGTCACTCCAAGATGATAAAGCTGAACCCTGGCGAGAGACAGGGGTGGTGGTCGGCCAAGAAATTCGATCGACGGATCAGAATGA